TTGTATTATGAGATAATTCCTAATCATTGCCCCTGTTTCAGCACTGGGGCACTTTGTGCTCTGGTTCCTCATCCAGGCAATCCAGTTTATCATCTGGTATGTTCCTTTGCAGGAATATTCTCACTCCATTCATCTCATTCAACAGTTCTGGAATTTATTCTCCTTCCAGTCCTCAGGCTTCTGGTCTTCTGAGACCTCAGTCAAAGGTGGGTTTAAGGGACAAATCATCTCTTAGCAGAATCCCACAGCTAAGCAACAGTTTCATCAGCCAACATTTCAAAACTACTGCCAGGGTTAAAGACCACAGAATAAACTGGTTGCTCTTATTTGAAATCTAGGGTTTTAAATGTATACCTGTGTGCTTTGCAAGTTTTTGTCATATTTGCCAATCTTTGGGTACTTGTGCTAGAAAGTGAACTAAAGAGCTGAGAAAACACAGACCAGCAAAATCATTTGGATGTCAATAAGCAGTATGACATCACCCAATCAGAAATACACATATTAAAGTCTATTTTGATTTGCTGATTAGAAAAGTGTAGTCATTATGGTTGTTGTTGCTGTTTGGGTTTTGCTGATCTGCTGATGGGTCACTGACTAATAGAAGCAAACACATTAAACAGGATTTTCCTGCTGTTTCCAGCAAAGTAAGTCATTCATTTGTGCATCACTCTAAGCTTCCTCCATAGAAAGCCTGGAGATTAATGGAAAGGAGTCATGTAAGTAGAAGTGCACTATAAAAGGATAATAAATGGAGACCATTCTCCTTTCTCAGTGATTTTCCTTTTCAGGACACAGTCAGTTGGTTCTTGTCTTTCCTCCACTCATGTGGAACTCACTTTAGATGTGAAATAAGGTGACCTCACTCCCACTCTCTGATTTCCTGATAGTGAGAGCTAAAAGCAGAACTTGTTTGGGAGACTGTGCATAGAAAGTACTCAGATGGGAAAGACAAATAGTCCTGCCAGTGGCCTAAAATGCCATATGAGTTTTATTGGAGACTTTTAAATTATGAGACATCTTGGTGTCAACTAAATGAGTCTCTTTTCCTCCAAGGGTTGCACATTAACTCTACCACTGTCTGGTTTCCCTTGTTGTATACAGATTTTGACAAACTTTTCCAGTTTTAAACTGCCTCATAATAATAGAATTGAGGTTGGAAGGTTCCTCTGGAGGTCACCCAGTTCAACCCCCTTCCCAAAGCAAGATTAATTGCATCAAGTCGCTCAGGGACGTGTCAAGTGAAGTCTTAAAGATTTCCACATGTGGAGATCCCACTGTCTGGGCCCCAGCTTCAATATTTGACCAGGATCTCATGGTAATATTTTCCCCCAGCTGATCAGAATTTCCCATATCAAAAATTCCTTGTCCTTGTGCATAGGCACTTTCTCATCATTTCCTGTATCAAGAAATCCCGATCCTTAACCTTCTTTCTCCTGCTCTCAGCACTCTCCTGCTTCTTTAGGAGAAGCTTTTTACCTGTTCTGAGACCAAGGTTTCCCAGGCTGGCTAAGCTGTGTGTCACAGCCACCTTTTCCAGACACTTTCTGACATCTAAATTTTATTTAATCTAATCCCATTGATCCTTCCTTAAGCATTGTACTGACCTGAATGCAACAAGAGGTTGGTGGTTGTTTTTAGGGAGGTGGGTTTTTTTTTTTGTATTTTTTCTTCAGAAAAGCCCCAAATCTCCTTTTCTATTGCACTTGAAAAGCCCTGGCAGTGCACATGTACAGCCCAAGGCAGGAAGGGCTGGAGCAGCCTCTTGAGGAAGGAGTTAAGTTCAGCAAGAACTGAACCAGCCTAATTTCTGTGCTAGGATTCAAACTGTGTTCCCTGTGGGTGGCACCATGGGGGAAAATCGCCCTGCCAGGATGGGACAGCAGTGACAGAACTTCCCTGAGACCTGGGCAGGATGGGCATCCTGCCAGTACAATGGGAATCACCACTCTTAGAAGGAATCTGGCCACCATGGGACTATTACAGGTGGTCTTGAGCAGCCAGATCCTACCAAAAGTTGGACATGGATGTGGTAGAGAGTGAGGAGAGGCAAGAATGTAGGCTATGAGTTAGCATAAAGGATAATTTCTCTAACTTAAATTTTGCCATATTCTGTTTCTTACATTTGAAAAATGTAGGATCCATGAAGTCTCATATTTCTGTATTTTTCCTACATTTTCAGAATAAAAAAGAAAAAGTTTTGCATAATTATGCCTGTAGAATACTATAGACACAACAATTAAACAGTGTGAAATTGAATCCTTGCTTGCCCTTTATCTTGGCCAGAGAATAGACTGCAGTGGAGAATCTTTTCCATTTTTCACAGATTAATCACATTTGTGGTTTGAAACATTCCAGGCAAATACTGTCCTTAGGGCTCAAAATATTTAAAGAGGAAATGCTTTTTGTCTATACAGAGGCAGCAGAAGTTCTAAAAGCTTCTGCCTTTGCAAAGCAAACTGAACAGTGCAAGAGGCAGAAAATCTGCATTTTGTAATATGTCAGGGTTGTAAGGGTTGTATAAGCGTTGTGTTTGTAATAAAAATATGCACAATATGACCAACAGAGTTAATTATTTTTCCTGTTGGTGACTTAAACATAAAAGCAGTGTTCTTGTGTAAAGGACTGTTGTTAACCTGTCTAAAGTCTATGCATGGACTTGTTCTCAGCAATAAAATACAATCTTCAAGTTATGCAGCCTCCCCATAAATTTACCTTTACCCCTGTCCTTTTCTTTTTCTTCTCACTAATGCCTGAAAATTGAGTTTGCCTTTCTGCTTGAATAGCAGACTTTTAGCAAAGTTATTTGGCAGCCAGGGCTGTGACTGATGGATGAAGGTTTTAGGGCTCCATACCTGCAGCTACAGCACTTGCTACTTATGGTGGCACAGGAGATGATAAAGACACAGGTCTTTTATTTATTCTCCTCCTCACCCTAATTTAAGGCCTCTGTCAGCTACTTGTCTCTGCCAGCAGTGAATCAAACAAGAACTTTCCTGGATGTATTAAGTGTATCTGCACAGCAGTGCTGGCATTTGAGCAGCTCTGCAGCAGGCTTGTTTCACTGCAAAGCAGCTCTGAATAAACCAGCTTTTTAGCTCACAATCCATTTCAGAATAAAAGATAACAAAGCATTTTTTTAGAAATAAAGCTGAGGGAGTGTGTCCTGTATTAAATATGTCCTGAGGGCTTGCATTTGTTTAAAAATGCCCAACTTGGCTTCTGGAAACTGAGCCCCAAGTGTGATTCCTGCCTCACTCAGCACACAGAGCTGCTACAGAAGATCTCTGCAAGCCACAGCTCCTGCTGATCTGCAGAACACTGGAACAGAGACCCACAGATACATGTTAAACATATTTATACATATATCTGTGTGTGCATAAGTATATTTCTATGTACACACACCTGCATGAAGGTAACAGCAGGGTCATGGAATCACAGAATGGTTTGGGCTGGAAGGGATGTTAAATATCATCTGTCCTGGGGGCAGGGGCACCTTTCAGAACTATCCATGAACACATCAGCAATTAATAAAAAGTACAAACACCCGGGCTAAGGTATGGTTCCATGATGGCTCATACATACCCCTGCATAATGAACACCACAAAAATACAGCAGTAAGATTCTGTTCAGGCCAAGAGCAGCAAAAACAGAGCAACTATTATTGTCATTGTCCATCTCTGAGGTGCTCCAAAAGGTAATCACAAAATAGGAAGTTCTGTATGTGAGAGACTCACATGGTAGAGAATAACATTTTTAGCTGAGGATGTTTATTTTCTTGGGGATGTAAATATAGGAAAAAACGTTGCTAGCAAAGCCCCAGGAAGAAGCACTGCAGCTTTGTGCATGGAAAGTATCTGGAGAAGGCAGCAGCACCATCTGGTGTTCTCTCCGAGCCCCCAGAGAAGTGCCTGATCCCCACTCAGAGCTGTCCTCTAAACTCTGACCTCTTTAACCCACTGAGTGCCATAGAAATGTAGGAACTGTGATGGAAAATCTCCAGCTAGTTTACATTTAAAGGTGTGCTAGAGATGGTTTGGTTTGCTGCAATTATGAAATGAATGGATTTAGGAGACAGTAATCCCAAAACATAAATCAGAGAATCACATGATGGTTTGGGTTGGAAGGGATCTAAAAGACCACCTTTTTCCAGCCCCCTGCCTTGGGGACAGGAAAATTTCCACTGCCTGAAGCACTTTTGGAAATTTCTGGAACAATATTTTCCTTACCTATCAAACCAAGACTGTATTTTTTACCTTCAGTGGGAAGTCCTGCTTAAAACTGAAATCCAAACTTTGGATATAATGTAAATCCAAACCTCAGATATAAAATAAATAAGAATTCTTTTCAATCCACATGAAAGTAAATATACATGGGTATTTAGAGAGAGCAATTGGCCCTTGTATTTAAAGATTGCTGAATTTTTTTGTGATTCAGACAGGAAGAAAGATAACCTGATACTTCATTCAAATTCCCTCCTGTCAATTTCTCAGCAAGTAAAAGCACATAGAGCTAGATTGGGCAAATATTCCAGGCATAAATAAGCCTATTCACAAGCAAATATGTTTGTTTGTAAGTCATTATGTTCCTTCACACATGAATACTCAAGGCAAAAAGGCAGGAGCTTAGATGGAAACAGGGTAAATGAACACACGCCTCCAGCTGCAACAGGGCTCCTGCAGCTGGTCCTGGAAAATGTAACTTGTTACATTCTAAACTAACCAAACCTTGAAAAATACTCCTCTTCAACTGTATATTTTGAAATTATTTGTGAGCTAATGCTCTGCAATAGGTTTTAAACAAACATTTGATGGGTGGGATAAACCAAACTCCACTCTGGCGTCTCTCTGTAGCTCCAGGATCTCCCTTGGACCTTGCTGAGGGCCAGCAAAGGGCAGGAGAGGAAGCAGCAGGCAGAAGATCAGGGACTGGAATTTCCAAAAGTGCTTCCAAAAGTGCAAATGCTGTGTGTGAGCCCTGCACCGAGGGGCTGTGGCACTTACTGTGGGGTAGGGGTGGGAGCAGAACACGGTGTATTTCCGGATGATGCCGTTCAGCTTCAGGGGAGGCAGCCAGGACACAAAAACCGTGGAGGCCGAGGCAGCAGCTGCCTTAACTCCGGCAGGAGGACCTGGAACTGGAGAAGCAAAGTGTGTTAGAGTGGCCCAAGGCACATATTCAATCATCCCAGTGTAACAGAGGAGTTAAGAGGAAAAGGGGAGTGTGCTGCTTTGGTGGCTGAGCCCACATGGACTGAGATGGACACTCTGTGTTAGGGAGCAGCCTCCACGCTGCCCATGCCAGGGAGAAGGTTTGGGGGACGTGACCCCATCCTTAAGAGGGGAGAAACTTCTTCAGAGAGTCCCAAAGCAGAACCTGCCACTGATGGTTAAACTTTTGTGAAGTATCCCCTCAAGCCTGCATAAAATCATAGAATGAACCCAAGAATGGTTTGGGTTGAAGGGAACTTAAATATCTTCCAAACCCCTGCCATGGGCAGAGACACCTTCCCCTAGACCAGGTTCCTCAGAGCTCCATCCATCCTGGCCGTGGACACTTCCAGGGATGGGGCATCCACTGAGAAACCTGTGTCAAGGCCTCATCACCCTCACAGTAAAGAACTTCTCCCCCACATCCAACCTAAATTTCCCCTTTCAGTTTGAATCCAAATGCACATGTGAAAATGTCTGTGGTCACAGAAATTGCCAAACAACACTTTATAATAAATGGCCAGCTTTGAACACACAACCCATGCCAAAGTGTTATAAATAATGCACATGTGGACAGTTTAATGGACATCCAGAGCAGAGCTGTGAATTTAATGAAGTGGAGGGGAAACGAGCAGTTTGCACTGCCTGATGTGACCCATGGGCAGCAAGTGCCACGATGTGTGAGCAGACATCTCCCCACACAGAATCCTTGTCCCTCACCCTGCCCTCAGCAGCTCAGACCTCTCTCTGCTACTGCAGGATATCTATTTCTCTAATTACAATACATAATACACAATAATACAAAGTTATCACACAGAAATAGCTAAAAACCCCCAAACCTCCTGTCTAAAACCATTGGAAAAGCTTCAGTTTGGAAATGCTAAAATCTTGCTGTGTAATCTTAACTACATCCCTTTGCAGCCCTGCATTTTGGGAAAGGTTTTGATTTCATGAGCATATGCTGTTTTTCAAACACACATTACACTGTATGATGCTCTCCAGCTTTGGAAACACTCTTTTACTAATGTGCAAAATTGCTAGATTTATTTTCCTGCATGCTGGAATATCACATTACACACAAGCTTGTACTTCAACAAAACAAGGGCTACATTTAATATCAGAATAAATGGGTTTAAAATTTACTGAAAAATAATGCCTTGTATATGCCTCAAAAGAATGCCTCAAAATATTTCAAAATATATTTTAAAATCTGCGAACATAAATAATTTGAAAGATATTTTAGCACTGTGTGTGGTCAATATTTATGTCAAATTATGAAAATAGATATGTTGTATTGATAATTGCTACGTAGGTTATTAAAGTCAAAATGAAACAATTTGCTGGACTTTGTTCTCTACAGAACTACTGCTTTGTGAGGAATCTGATATTTTTGTCTGCTGTCAAGTAAAACTACCAAAATGTTAAAATTTCTAGTGCAATTACCATTGCAATGCTTGACCAGCTTTCTTTACTTTCACAGAAAACAGTTATTGTGCAATAGAGGTACAAAATCTCTTGTCCTGTTATTTGTAGATAAATTCTGAATTTTCGTTCTGCCTCAATTAAGCAAGCAGATATTATGCTGCTCCAGAACTTTCCCCATAAAGAGAAGTCAGCCAGCCTGGGATCTAAATTTCCTCATCTTTTGTGCAAAACAATGTGAGGAGACCCTCAATTTTACATCTGCATAGGTGGTCCTGGAAAGATGTGAGAAAACTGACAGGCACCACTCAGTGCTACGTCTCTGGATGTGCATTTTCTATTTATAGTGTGCTGAGAGAGCTAATTAGGCATCAAGTGAGAACGTCATGATGATAATTGCATGCAAAGCCAGCCCCTCGCTGCAAAGGGGCTAATTCAGTTAGCAGCTCTATCCAATGCAGAGTAAATATTGATGCTTGACAGCATCCAACTTGTTATTTATACCCAGCTCATTAGAAATGCTATTTGCTCCTGCTGCTGAGGAGTGAAAGCTGGCTCTCTAGGGTAATTACCTAACCCACAGGAGGATTCCTTTATGGATAGCAATGTTTTCTGGAAATCACTGCAAATAGATGGATGAGGTTAATGCAATTTATTGTTAAATCAGGGTGTGATCTATAGGGACAGGTTCTGATGGTAATTGGTCATGGCTGTCGACTGCTGAGGGATTAACTCGGAATTCATCTGGCATTTTCCAGTCATTGGGCCCATGTGGGAAACATTCCTTGGCATTGCTGTGTTGCTGTCTGGTGTGAGATCAGCAAAAAGAGGGGCCAGAAAGAAACTCAGGAAGCCATTTAGTAAAATTTTCAACCCAAGGACCCCTGCACCTCACTGGGGTGGAGTCGGGCAGCAGTTTTTGCAGCGTTACCAAAATTATTCTGAAAACTCATGTATCAGTCCTCTTTTTGCTGCACTGCTGGGCTGTGCACATGAAAGCTGTGTGTCATTCCACTGTGCGTGTGGAAGTGTTTACATTTCCTTGGCAGGAATCCTGCAGAATCTCATCTGGTGCTCCACAGACCCCCACTGTTCTCTGTCCAGAGGGTAAAGTCACAGGTCAAACCCATCCCCTGGACCTCGTAAGAGCTATCTCAGCATCAACCAAACCATTTCTTACTAAACTGGGTTCCTTGGGCATCTGGAGAAGTTGTGGCTGGGGAATGTGGTGGAGAGGAAAATCCTGAGCCTTGCCAAGCAAACTTGAGGTATCTTCCCTCAGTGCCACTGCATCCCCAGCCTTTCCATCATTACAAGCCAGCAGTATCAGGAGACCTGAGCTGCCTTATTGAATTCTCCCTGGACCTTTATTTAGCACACTGACTCCCACAGCTCCCAGAAAGACAAACTGAATTTGCACAATGCCATAGATTGTTTTTTTTCCCCCCTAGTCACCGGGGGTAAAACTACGGTGAGAAGCTGAGGACTGCTTCTAAACAACTTTGCAGCTTTCCAGGGAGCAGATGTGGCAAATTTAAGATCAAAGATGGCCTCATTCTCCAGCTAGCAAGGCTTTGAAAAACACGGAAATAGCATCCTGCTTTCATGTGGAGGAGAACACTTTGTATTCCTGACAGTGCAAGTGAAATGCTAAAGCAGAGCAGGCAATTATCCTGATACGACAGGGCTGGGAACCAGCATTTAGATGTGCCAGATAATGGGGAGGAGCTCCAGGAACTTTCTCATTCTCCTTTTCATAAGCAGAGAGATTATCACCATTTTTCTTCACAGTACCGAGCAGCAGGAAGGCAAATGCAAAGACTGGTGCATTTAAGAGTGATATCACAAATAAATCAGAAATGTGAGCCTTGTTCTGTAAGAGGGTTTTAATTCTCCACGACACGGGACTATTCCATTGCTGGCTGCACTTAGAAAAACCAAAATAAACTCAACTCCTGACTGCTGCCCGTTTGTTCATATAGATATTCCACCTACAATGTCAGACAAAACACATCCACACGTGAATTTACTCTGAATTGGCCTCATATTAAGTACACCATTTCTATCAAATCCTGCCGGTTTCCCAAGGGGAACATGTTCTTTGCCTTTTGCTTCTTAGTCAAAAAGATAAAACTGGAGATCTTTACCACTAGAAAAAAAGTGCATTAAAGGGTCATCAAGGGCAATTTTTCATCCCAGAGCCCAGTCACCTTCATCAGCTGAACAAAGCCAAGCAGAGCTCTGCTCCAAGGAGTAATGAACATGCACCTGGCTGGATTTCTGCTTAATCATTTTAGAATAAATGTAAAGCTTGCCAGATGCTGTCTGTGCCTCTCATGCTAGTGGTCAGGAAGCTTGGTGTCCAGGGAGAGGAAGGAGAGGAGGAAAATCTCTTTGGATTCAGGCAGAGCAGGGCTGGCAGGGGGATTTGGTGCTATTTTCCCTTCCTTCCTGCTGCAGCTTTTGCCTGGCTCTGAATGCCAGACAGCTGGAATCACAGCACTGCTGCAAAAATCCTCCTGTGTCACAGCCAGCCCAGATGCCACCTCTGCCAGACACCCAGACCAAAGTCCCAGCTGCAGGAAGCTTTCCTGGGATGGGGGCTCTGGGATCTGTGTGCTCCCATGGTCTGCTCAAGGTCAGGGCACTGCTGCCAGGCAAGGTGCTGTGTCACATTCCAGGCTTGTTCAGGCAGCAAATTCCTTGTTGCAACCGTGGTTTGCTCATGTTGCATTTGCAGCACGGGAGCAGAGAGGGAATTTGTGACACACGCTCCCTCTTGCTGCAAAACAGAGAAGCCTTTCAAACTGCATTTTGATCACAACAGGGAAATAAAGTGGAAGAGCTGCTTTAATTTTTAATGGTTTATTAAATCAAGTCTCCAGGTGAAGAGGATGTGCAGCTTATTAGAAACTGTGAAGTGGAAAAGGTAATGGACAAAAACAGAATTAATTTTTAAAAATTGGACATTTCTTCTTGGCTTATTTTTTTCTACCAGGAGGAACTCCAAAAAGAGCAGCATTTTTTCTGAAGTCAGCTTTCAGGAAAACTGGGGGGAAACCTAGATAAAACCCATAAATATGATCACATTGAAAGGAAAGCTCATTCCTTGAAAGCTCATTTCCTATTATTTGCTTGAGTTGTTCCCATTTCCTTTGCTGATCAGCAGCAGTGTCTGACCTCTGGTGTCTAAAATCAGTATCAAACATTACAAGAAATCAAAGTATCAAGGTATTCCATCCAGGATTCACTTGCTGGGTTATCCTTAGAGATTTCAAGCCTGCTGAAGAAATTTTGGGTTGACGTCTTTAGCTGAACACCAACAGAGAAGTCACAGGAGGCTCCGACTGCATTTTCCAGCAGCAGTGGAAAATGCTGCACCATTGATTTTACAAAGAAAAGTTTCCTCTCATGTAAAAGAAAAGAAAAAAAGAGAAAGGAATTAATGATCAACCATGGCCTCATAGCAATAATGATGTGGAGGGCTTGGCAGTCACTTAAAAATATCCCAGTTTTCCAGATTTTTTTAGAGGATGGTGGAATATCTTGTGTCATAATTTTAGCCAGAGAAGGTCTGGGAGCAGAGATAGAAGGTTTCCAGTTCTAAGCTCTGTTAGGATCCCAATTAATTTATTTCACATGCCAAGGAAAGGCTTAAACTAAATTCAGGGCAGAATCTTTTAAGTGCGCTGGAATTAGTCCTCCTGAATAATCCTCTACAGAACATTTTCCTTAAAAATGACAGTAGAAATGTCCCTTTTTCTGAGGAATGAGGCACCTGTTTGGTGCACAGAGTTTGGCAATGTGAATGCTCTTTTCCTCTTTAACTTCCATATCCTTCAGGATGTTTAGATCCAGGATTTTGGGTTTGGCTTATGCTTAACTGCAGGTCTCTGTATATTCCACTCAAAACCTTTCCTGCCCTTAGTAAAAAGTTGTGAAGCTGAAGCTGAATATGAAATCATTGTATTTTCTGGAACACCTTTCCATTTAGTTTTCTGGGCAAAGGATTTAATGAATGGAACCAGTGTGAGGCATCAGAAAATCTCTGGAAAGTTTCCTCAGGCTGTCTCAGGGCGAGTTATTGCTGAGCTGCCAGGAGGAGTAAAGGTGAGAGAAGAGCCTTTGCACAGCTGCCAAACACAGTCTGAGGCAACGTGCTCCCCTCATCAGGGCCTGTCTGATCCCAGGCATGGAGACAGCAAAAGAGTCACCACCAGAACTGGGATGACCAAATGAGGCTGAGCTAGGGGGAAAAAGAGGACAAAAATGATGAAGGAGACGATGGAGGAGATGGAGAAGGAGGAGGAAGAGAAGGAAGAGAAGGTGGAGGAGGAGAAGGAAGAGAAGAAGGAGAAAGAGAAGGAGGAGGGGAAGGAGGAGGACAAGGAGGAGGACCAGGAGAATGACCAGGAGGAGAAGAAGGAGAAAGAAGAGAAGAAAGAGGAGGAGGAGAAAGAGGAGAAGAAGGAGGAGAAGGAGAAGAAATATTTGAAGCTTCTGACATGAACCAGATATCCCCAAGACCAGCCTGTCCCCAAGCTCCTGGAGCAGTGTGGGACATTACTCCTGTATCCTGGTGGATTAAATCCCAACCCCAATGCTCAGGGCTGAGAGCCTTTGTGTTCAGAGAGAATTCAGGGAATTTGCTATGCTGGGATCTACTTGACAAAAAGTAACTTGAAAATGCAGCATGTGTTTTGCAGTTCTCTGACACTTTAGATTTTACATCTTAGATCTTTTTTTCATTGAAATAAATCCATCTACTTCCAAGCACTAGGTGTCCCGAGAGCATCTGAGTCAGGACCTGGGTGCTCCAAAGTAACTGTTAAAGGACTTTAGGCTGATCAGAATGTTCAGTGTTTGAGACACACAAGTCTAGAGCTGAGCAATTTCTATTTACTGCATTCCCTGGATACAGCTACAGCTGGGGCCAGGTGACCTTACAATGCATGGAAATTTTAGAATAAGTCCCTTAATATTTAATTGGAAAAAAATTAATAACTGTATTCACATAATTTTTTATTGGAAAAAATAGCACAGAATTCATCAAGTCAGTTAATTTACTGAACCTGTTCTCTTGTCACTTTTATAAATCTTATTACAAATAAAAAAACTGGCATGTATATTCATATATTCACGAGTGACCAATAAAGTGGATAAATAAGAAAGGAAAATCCATTGACTAATTTCCTTGAAAACATATTGTATAGCTCACAGGAGAATTTACAAATTAAACATTATTCAAGTAACCTCATTGAGAGGACTGTGGGCATTTTTATCTGTACCATAAAAGGTCTTGATCCAGTTTTTCAAAAGCATTTAGGGGATCAAAAAATACATTTCTACATCTCATAGTATTTTCAAGGCATTAAAAAAGGTTAGGGACAAAACCTCCCGTGAATGTGGAATTTTAGTGCTCCAGAAATAGATCAGTGCATGGCATCCTACTGAGGCAACCTGAAGTGATTATAATAGTTACAGTTAAAATAAAGTGATTATGGAATGTCACGTGTCTGGGTCTGTGTATGATTAAAAGTTTCTTAAACTTTCAGAATCAAGAATTGAATTTGCCATGCTTTGGTCTAGGAACAAAGGTAAGACATTTTTATTCTTTATTTTTGAACAAAAATAAAGAACAAAAATGCTTTTGAAGGAGGAGGTATTTGGAGGATATATATATATATATATATATATATACTGAAAAAAACATTCTTAGTGGGATCTAAGTAATATAATATAGTTCCAGAAGAGTCTCTCCTTCTTTCCCCATTTTCCTGTGCTGGGACACCCCAGGGCTGAGTTTTCAGTCTTTCCATGCCTGTGTGCAATATTTGCCTGTGACAAACAAACATTTCCTGGAAGTGGGAATGGAAGATGCTTTCACTCCTTACCATCCTCTTTAGTGCGGGTGAAAATCTGCTCGCTCCTCACTCCATCCCCAGCTCGGGTAAAAGCCAGCACCTGGATGCTGTAGTTGGTGTATTTTTCCAGGCCATCCAGTTCCAGGGAAGGCTGGGTAGTAGTAACATTCTTTATCTCTCCCAGCTCTATAAAATAAAATTAAAATAAAATAAAATAAAATAAAATAAAATAAAATAAAATAAAATAAAATAAAATAAAATGGAAGTGGAGTTATCACCAAGTTCACTCTTCTCCCAGGTGTTGATACCTGCTGTGAAAATCTCAGGTGTCCCAGACAAGGAACGTTTCATTATTACAGAACAGCAATGCATTTTAATGAATTACAATTAATTCATTTATGTCCTGACCTGCTTCCACTTGATGCAGACCCATTTTTCATTTTCAAACTCTTTTTTTAAACCTTTTTTTTTTTTTAAACTATGATGAAGAGAATTGAAGAGATTCTACAAGTAATGAGATTTTTCATAAAGAACAGATAACAAGAAGAGGTTATTGTGAAACATCCCCTAAAGAAAAAAAATGAGAACGTCAGTTATCTTCATAAAGATTTTCTGGTTATGTGAAAGACCATTTCTCATAAGGAAAATGAAGAAAATGTCCCCTTTATTTTAAAATATGCAGCAAGTGCTGCTGCAAAGCACTTGGTAGCAGCAATAGTGGCTAACAATAGATTTAAACACAGTAAAATCAGATTTACTTGCAGAAAGATGATGCACTTCATATTAATCTTTTTTTTTTTTTTTGCAGCAAGTAAGAAGTACAACCCATATGGCAAAAAAAAGAGAAAAGCTTTAAACATATTTAGGGCATCAAATAAAGTTGAATAAATAAAGAAAATCCAGTTTTAAGCATGGCAGGAACATCATCTTTTTTCATCATGTTGTGAGACATCACATAGGAGCTTAGATATGATAACATCCACACAGGATCTGATCCAAAACTACAGGCATCACTGTAAACATTTAATTTTATGCCCTACATGTTTATATTTTTTTCTGTATGCTTCTCATACATTTTTCATCTTTATTTTTAAGGGAATTGGGGGTTGATTTCCAAATATTTTTGAGTCTACCATTACCAGCAGGGACAATGGGCCTCTGGGTCACATTTCCACTCTAAATTCCCTTTTCCACACTAACAGGCCAGGATTTGCACAAGTGCAGGTTACAGTGAACTGTGGTTCTGCTGGATGAAGGCAAAAGAAGGGAGACAGTTGTGAAAAATCCACAGGGCAAGTAGAAATAAAGTCATGTGCATCTCAAACCTACTAATTTGTTTAATTTACAAGAAAGGGCCACACATGGAATTATTATCATGCAATAAATTGCAGATTAGTAAAGCATCACAATTCTCCTTTGATCCTTTCACTCAGTCTCTGTTCTGGAGCCTATTTCCCCAGGAATTATGCTAAGAGTACAAAACACAACAGAAAAAGCTGGCATGGAAATAACAAGCTTTTCCCAAAGACATTTCCTTCTTTTGCCCTCAGCAAAGAAAAAAATCCTTCTTTTTTCCTCAGGAGAGGAAATGCATCCTATGAAAAAATAAGTGATAGCATATCAAGTAGGCAAAGAGATAACCAACCAAATTACAGAGAAAATCAGGTTTGGGCTGGTTTGTTCTAGATCCACGTCACCATTCTTTAAAAAAACCCAACACTCAGGAGTTGGTAACTGAGGTGAAATTTGCTCAGGTCATGTTGGGAGGCCTGGGGAGTTTTGCAAACCCATGGTGGGAGCCTTCCCTGAGATTCCTCCAGGCAGCTTTGCTGCTCTGTTCAGCCTCTAGGAAAAACTACTCCCTCACAGGTAGACAAAGTTTCCTCTAAACCAAAAAGAAAAGAGAGTCAAATGTCTTCACACCAGAGAGAAAATTATATAAAGGCCACACACAGCTTTTTACTTGGTAACAGGTTGGTGTTTCTCACCTCCATCCAAGAGGTTGGCCCAGTAGATAACCCTGAATCCCTGCAGGATCCCGTTCAGGGTTTCCTTTGCCAGCGTTGACCAGGAAATGGAGATGGTTTCTGGGGACGTGGCAGTGGCTTGAACATTCCCTGGAGGGCAACTGGGCACTGGAATAAGATATTCACCATTTTAACACAATGAAAACAACTCAATATTCTTCTTTCAGCTACCCTTTATTTTTCCCTCTAGCCCACCACAAAATATTTAATTACCATTACACATTTTAACAATGCAAATCCTTTACTCTTGCTGCAATCCACATGTTTCTGCAAGTGCAGCTGTTTTCCCTGGAATGACTTTTGATGTACTGTTTCCTTAGTTGCTGACTTTTCTTTTAATAGGTTTTTTGTTCCTTCTTTTGAAATATAAGTGTGTTCTGACACTGCAATGTGTAGAACATTCTGTAAGCAATTTAAACATATTTTTAAAGTTTGCAGCCAAATTTTCACCTTTGTGAACAATTCTGATGTCCCTTTTAATTTGGTGGAGGGAGAAAAAAGTGGGCACATCTTTAAAAAACACAGGAAAAATGGTCATAATATATTTTTGCTGATATTTAAAAAAAACTGGGAAAAATCAAACCAATCTGTTGGCCATTTAGTGTCAAAGCAATACAGCAGTATCAGTAACTGGCACTGCTTTTAAAGTTCACGGCATATTTAATTCTAAGAGGGACCCAAAATTGAGGACGACCAAAAAAATTTCCAAGAAAAGCAAGCATGCTGGATTCTGAAGGAAAAAAAAAATCCCATTTATTATAATATAAAATATGTCTATGTGAGCATGCTGCCTTTTGAGGTCTTGCAGCAAGCTAAGCCTAGAAACATTTAGAGTAAAAAAAAAACTATCACTCTTTCATGAACAGCCTGCCCCAAAATCTGTGGCTCTTGAGGATTTTAGATGTGTGATATTGCATTTTGTCCATGCAGAAGTCAGATTCCAAGCTAGCACTGGTTTCAGGACACTGATGATGATTTACAGTAGGTGAAAATATTACTTGCATAGCCTTTAGGATTATTATTTGCTGTTATACTCCTAAAATACTGAACTCTTTGTTTTGGATATGGGATCATTCTCTTTTTCCACTAGAGGACTCCCTCTCATTGTTTTGTACTTTTGATTCGGTTAAAAAAAAAAAAATCTATATTGTTCCTTGGATTAGACAGGGTGAATTTTGCCTGAAACAGCAATGATTTTTCTGTCATTAGATATCCTTGAAAAAAAACCACATCTTTCTTAAGATTTACAAGACAGTGCAGTACAAGAGCTCTGGTTATACAGCAAATTCATTTGAAAACAGTAGTAATCCAACAAAAAATACAACATTGTTTTTTAAATCACCTGTTAAGAGTTTCACTTCTCAAAACTATGATGAGATCACTCTGGAGTAATGATGAGATCAAAACAGTTGCAAATATGTCAACACCAGAGCATTTGGCTTCTTAATGAATTTTTTGGTCTCAGTCAACATCATTCACAGCAGGATATATCACATTAGTAGAGTTATTTTTATTTATCTGGTAAAATAAATTCACCCTTGCAATGAAAATCAGACAAGTTCATTGAGCAGGCACCTTTCTACCTAAAGAATAGTCTTTTATCATCCCTACTTTCATCATCACTTATCAAACAAGAAATGCAACAAGATAAAGACATAAAATAATAATAATAACATTAATAACATATCCCATGAGAGCTGTTTGCCAAGGACCCACCGTCCTCAAGAGTTGTGGTGATGATTTCCTGAGAAGAAGGTCCAATCCCAGCCCGGTTACAGGCCTGTACCACCATGCCATACTGGGTGAATTTTTTCAGGTTATTCAGTGTATAAACCTCACTGTCCCCGGTGGTGTCGATGCTGATGATGTTGAACTGGAAATTTCCCCCCGCGCTGTACTCCCGATATCCTATCTGGTAGCCACGGATAATTCCATTCTGCAAGTGCTTCTTTGGAGCCTGAACAGAAAATGGAAAGTTACACATTAAATGCACACATACAAAGTCAAGTTGTTTCCCTTAAAATTACTGGGAAAAAAAAAAAAGTTTAACTTTTTTTACAACAGAATGCAAGTCAATTTCTAGGCAACAATTCAGAAACGTGAAACAGCAACTTTTTACAACCATATAAATTTCACACAATGACTAGGTTGGAAAAGACCTTCAAAATCATCAAGTCCAAAAGGTGTGACTTTTTCAAATCTGTGCTGAAAGACCTTTGAATGGTTCATGCACAGAAAAATCCAATACAGAGAGACTTTTGAGTATGAATCTATGATGTTTTGTTCTCTTTTCAGGTGAATCAATCCAAGCTGAGTTGATAAGGGTATATTTGCATTCCAGGCCACTATTCACTACTAATTATTTTTGCCAGCAGCCCCCACCATTCACTGAACCTTTAGGAAGGCATTTATTGATCTGTGCAAGGCAGTCACAGGAGTTTATTCAGTCCCGTGCATTAGGAAAATTCTATGCTCTGCTTTGAAATATGCTTCTGTTCATTCAGTGTGTAGTGTGGAAAGATGATTAGATAATGAGTGCTGAAGGCAACAATGATTTGGAAAGCAGAGATTTGCATACTGAATAGCTGCAATGTATCTGGCATTCAGGGATACGGACAGCACAAAATGGTTGGCCATAATTATGTGTCACATTTCTCAGTGCAAGATTCCCTGCTCCTGACTAGTGGGAATTATTTGTGTGCTCTGCAATATATAATGTGGTCTAGTGCAAAGCAGAGATTTTCAGCTCAGGGAAAAAGCCTGTCATTGACAGCAATACCCACAAAAATTATATTTAAATAGTATTGGACTAATTTACATATATGATAATGTTCCTGCCTGATTTTTTATCTATAGGAGGCATAATTAGTTCATATATTTTAAGTATATATTTTAGTATATATATATTTATATGCATCTTAAGGCACAGTTTGTAATCCAGGAGCAAAAAATCTCTTTGCAATCCTCCAAACCTCTTTCAAACTCCCAAGAGATGCCTACAAGCTCATCTATCCCACTGCTCCACAGAAAAGGTCTTTGTGATGCAATGGGTTGGACTGGCAGAGGCAGCAACTTCTGTTGCTTCTATATCCCATTAAATCTCCTGAGGAACAGATTCTCAAGAAAAACACACATTTCTGCCACAGGACCTGCCTGTTTTGGGGAGTTTATAGTGCACTGGAGATGATAAAACCAGGGTGAGCTTTGCCTTTCATCCACTACCATCAAAACCATTGCTCTGCAACCCCCTCCCAAATTTAAAATGTGTGTCACTGTATGCAACTGATTGATTGAATAATCTCTTCATATGTTTTTTTTCTCCCTCTTGCCTGAGAAACAGACACAGAACTTGAAGTGATGACATAATTTCAATTCCCACTGTATCACTCTGATCAGATGTAGCTGATCAAATTAGCAGATTCAGATCTTGAGATCCTTGCAGGTCACACAGCAGGGATAAGGATTGTGTTTTGGGAATCTAAGAGTATAATTGTGTCCTGTTTGAATATTTCTCTGGGTTTTTTGGTCAAAAACTCCCAAAAACTTGCTTTAGAAACATACAGGTAATTTTATTATCAGAGCCCTTTCTAAGTGTGTTACCTATTCTGGATAATTCCATGGCTTTGTGATCTTTGAATGTTTGCAGAAGGAGGAACCTTTAAGCTGGGAGGGAAGTTAAGGTCAGATTTTTGTTGTTTGAGTTCAGATAAACTTTCCTGCCAGCAGAGCTGCTCCATCCCTCTGCTCATCCTGACTGACAACAGTTTGACTTCCACACAAACAGGGTGAACAAAGCAGCCACAGCTGCCTCTTCACTGGGAATTCTACAATTATACTTTCTCACTTTGAATTGGAATAAAATTACAAACTTTGAAATTTTCATGAACTTCTTCATAATTGTTTTCAGTCAAGGGATTTTTTTCTTTAAATAAAATATTAAACTTTCACTTTTTTTTTTTTTTTTCCCCACCATTGGAAACATTATACAATATAAAACAAACTCCAAGTCACTTCAGGGAAAAACATTGAAATGTTCTGCTTCACAAAAATTCCAATGTTCTTTGTGACTGTGACCTGAAAACTTCATTTTGAGTTGACTTTTTGCACACATGACTCATTTGATAAATATTCCTTCTAGTGTATAGACACACTTTTGGTAGAAAATTGAGTGAAAAAACTTAGTGTTCCTGGGGAAAAATATTGTGAACCCTGTCAGTAGCCATAGAACATTATGGAAAAGTAAGTTTCAGTCCATACACTTTCTGCTTTCCTCACAGAATTCAATATTTTAAAGCAGAGTATCAATGACTTTCGTAAAGTATGACATACTATAGTTTTGTGTGTGTGTAAATAGGAATAAAAAGGAAAATTTAGTTCCCCATGACTAAATTTAATGGGTTCATTTACCTAAGCTAAAGTACTACGTGAAAAAATAAGAATATTTTCATGCTCTTTTCTAAATGAGTATTTCTGTTTAATTCCCATTATCTCGGCACCACTTTAAACAACCAAAAAGTGGTAAATTTTATTTACCAGCTCAGTCTGAAACCCAAAGTCTTATGTGGACACAGAGATATTGGATTAAACAAACCACAGACCAACACAACTTTGCTTGACTGGGATTTTCTAAGAGTGGACTAAGATAAAACTTTAAATGAAGATTTACAGCTGAAACAAGCTGCAGAAATGGGATTTAATATATGATGAAAGATAATCCATGTGGTATTCCCTGCTCCTTTTGCTGTTATTGACACTGTGTTTTAATAAAGCTTGCCAGCTTTAAATATAACCATGGTTTTCACCACAATCCTGTTTGTTCAATGTCATCATAGCCTTTCATGGCTAAAGCTCCACATGCCTCCAAAATAAAAACTACCAAGGTCAGGTTCTTTTCTTGTTTTTTGGCTTCCATGACAACATAGGATGGATCTCTTATTTATTCTTAATTACATTTTATTAGACACTCAATGAGTGCTTTCTGCACAGCATTGTAGGGACCTTCCCAAAAGTTAGGATTCAACATGGAACCAAACTGGATTATTTCAGTGGGATCATCTTAAAGTTACTTTTTGAGTAATGAACCAAAACTGCTCTGACCTGAAGAAAACTGAAATAAGTCAAGGCAAGTAAGTGGCTCGCTCCTGGTTCGGGACTTCTTAATAGGGAAGAGAAGATTTTTTAATCAGCTTAGAAAGTGTCATTCAGGAAATAACTACCTTAATAAAGGCAGGACTACATAGCTCTAACCCTGCCCAGTGACTTCACCTTAAGCTCATTCCAAATTGTGAAAATCCATCTCTCCCTTCAGCTCATGAGACCAGGCTAATGAAGTATGTATTAAATATATAACTCGTTTCAGTGAATATCTTGTTATATTAGATACTGAACTTTGCTTGACAAGAATTCTCCAATCAAATTCCAAACACGATCTTGGGAACACAATCCCAGCCCCTCATTTGATATCCTTCAATATCAGGCAACACCCAGAGCCCCGGACACACTCAGTTGTACTTGAAGTGTCCTTGAAGTACAAATTGAACTATATTTTAGGCAGTTATTGAAATGTAGGGGTGGGAATTCTGTTTGTCCTGTAGCTGCCTGTTCACATCTGCATATATAAAATTTAATAGCAGAACTTCACAAACAGCAGCTAAGAATTCCATAAGGGGCCAGTGGTGCCCATCTTCTCTTGCAGCTTTTAAAAACATCCCCCAAAGTGAACTTTCTGAAAAAGTAAACAAAGCCTTTCAATCTGCCTACCCATAAATCCATAAAAACAAATTCAGGCATAGAAGCTTGAAGATTATAGTTGACTTCATCAGATAGTCACAGTTCTTAAGTGGTTTTAAAAAGAAAAAACCTATTAAGAATTTATTTCAGTTGTTGAGAATCACTGTACACCCTTGCATGGCTTCAAAAACCACTTCCTTTGCTCTACTGACTTTGTGTTGGATTTAAATCCATGTCTTCTCTAAGTTCATTGCTGTGTTTCACTCCAGGTAAATTGTGACCATACAGCCTTTGGTTTTGGAAATCATTTGGTGAAAAGCAACACTGACATAAATTTAAGATGTGGACAAGATTCAATCATCAGCATTGCAGATTCAGAAGAGGTTCTGAACCTGCCTTTTAACTAACTGGCTTAAACCTACAATATATTCATTATTGTGCAATAAATAACCAATCATCCATAATTATTTGGGTAACAAGCAGATCCTCACTGCTCCTGACTTTCTGAATATTCCATATAATAGGACAAAAGCCACATCACCCACATCTGCAGAAGTAACTAACATCCATATAGAAATTAATCATTATTATTATTATTATTATGCCACTTCAGCTCTTAACATTACATATTCAAGAACTGTAAATATATGGAATTAGCAACACAATACACACGCAGTATATATCACAAAACCATTTAAAACCTGGTTTAAGTACCTCTGGTGTTATACTAAAGCATTTAAAACTTTCTGTCATTGTCAGAATACTGGGAAAAACCTAGAAAAATTGAGTCACACAAAGTGCCAGATTTTTAAATTATACCAGCTGATGATATTTTTGTATTAATTACTCTTTGTCAGTTCTCATGGACTATACTGAGACTCTCTCTCTGCGCAGCAAAAATCTGTCCCAAAGTCTATTGCAATGGGAAGAAGATCCCATTTGTTCCAATGGTTTCTGGGGAAGTTTTGCCCAGAACCACAGTGAAATTTTGTGAGTGTTCATTTCCTATGGGAAGAAGATCCCATTTGTTCCAATGGTTTCTGGGGAAGTTTTGTCCAGACCACAGTGAAATTTTGTTAGTGTTCATTTTCTAAACATGTGGCCTTATCTCTGAAATCAGAAAAAAGAAGGGAATGCAAGCAGCTGCTACTTTTACTCTCCAATGGAAAGCTTTCTTTGCATGATGCTCCCTTCAATGGCAAATATTTGAAGATTTGTTGGCAAAGGCATCTGCAATGTCTCTGCTAAATAAAATAACCAAGGCACAATTGTTATACTACTCCCTTGAAAGCATCCAAATACTGACAGAGCCTATCCTGTCTGTGGATGTGTGAGTATTTACCTTCCAGGTGACTCTGATGCTCTGTGAAGATATAGGCTCAAGCTGCACATCCTGAGGTGGACCATCAGGAGCTGGAAAGAGAAGGAAAATGCATCAAAAGTGGCCCTCACAGCCCAAGGAATTCAGCATTTCACACAAAATGTGAAAAACCTTTACACCCTAGCACCACAGAGGTTGGAGTCAGTGCCACATGGAAAACTTCACCAAACAAAAGCAGGGCCAGGAATCTTCTGCATTCAGGTGTCATCTCTGGCCAACGGCAAAATACACCATGTGCCAAAACATACCAAGCTGGTAAATGAAATGAACAGAATAAAATGAATAATAGTGGTTTTCTTGGCTAGAGATACGCTCACAGTGATGTCTCTGCATATCTGGAGATAGGCAGGAGGAATCTTCAGCAGTCACAACCCTGTGGGTGATAGAAAAGCAGCAGAGTTCATCTAAAGCAGATGAGCCAGAAGCTCCTAATCCTGCTTTCAACTTGTTGCAAATTTTCCAGTGGGATCCCCTTTGTTCACTGGAAACTGAACACATTCAGTCCAATATCAGATATTTTACACAAAATGCTTCACACTTTACACTCTCCCCCTCCCCAGTAAGAGTTCCAGCCTGGAAATCAGACAAAAAATAACTTGTAGGTGGGAAAATCTTCTTTCAATTCCTGCTTGAGCCAGGGAAACTTTCATGGACCATCAACACGGTGCCAAAGGTGTGCAGGAGGCTTTAAATGTGAATGAAAAAAGAAGGAACCTCCTCGTCAGCTGGGCAGCTACAAAGCAGATCAGGATCAGCTGGGATTGAACAGAGAGATGTGCAGTAAATTGCTTGCTCAGCAAGGTAAATCACTGCAAAGGAAAGATCTGAGGAGAGGGATGGAGCCACCTCGAGCTGCTGCAGAGGGTTCCCTTGATGCAGAATACGGCCACAGTAAAAGGTATTAAATTAGGTTTAATAGCAGGACAAAGGAAGGAAAGCAATGGAAAGGGTGAGATGGGGCTGTTAGAGGTGGAGCAGCAATAAATGACAGCTGTGGTGAAAGGAACCAGAACATTTTGCTTGAACTGATGAAAGCAGAGACACAGAATACAGCCTATAATATGTTTAAGTTATTAAATATGCCCTATTCTCTTCCATTCCTGACTGTCCTTCGTATGAGAAATTCCCAAAGCTTGAAAGAACTTTATTTCTATTCTTCTTGCATTAATATAAAGGAAGGAGAAGAGGAAAAAGTCCACTGGCAAAACTGAGATCTCTATGAATTTTTTGAAGCCTGACCTTAATTTTGTCTTCCTGTTGACAAAAATGAATGCCACTCCTCTGGGGTACATTATAATGTAGTGGAATTTGAGCCAAGCATTTGATCCTAAAAATGGCGTTTAAAATCTGCCCCCCAAAATCCTGACGTTTCCTCAAAAGACCCCAATTTTTTTTTCCACAGACTTGAATAGTTAAGTGCTCCCAGCACACCACAGGGAGATGTTAAATAAGAAGTAATTTGGTTTACATATTTAATGTCATACAGAGTTTGTGGCAAGGACATAAAGAAAACCCAGCTATCCCCATTTCCTCTATTGATTTCAGTATTAGGCAATGGCCATAATGCTCATTGTTTTTTCTGACAGGCATTGGAGCAAGTGTGTATTGGCATCTATTTTCCAACACATGAGCTAATTGGGGTTGTATGGAAAGAAAGATGTGGTCTGCAAGCTTTGAAATTGTTCCATCCTTACCCATCCTTTTGCCACAGTGACCACAGGTTGCTACAGGTTTCTTTTTAATAGAGATATTTCTTTGCAATATGTGATACAGAATCTGCCCCCCTTTCCAAGTTGCTTGGTTTTTATCTTGTATTTCTTGGACCTTTATTTTGCTCCCTACTCATTAGCCTCTCTCTCATCCCCTGCACCCATGCTGTTCCCCAATGCCTGCTGTAAAAGCAGGGAACAGAAGTAAACAGTGATCAAAAAAAAAAAGATGTTCCTATACTTTGTGCATCCCCTGAAATAAAAACCCAGGAGAAAAACATCACAAACTCTGCCTAAGCCTGACCTCCTCCCTCCCAGTCCTTCCCTAGGTAGATCAGTGACTTTTGAATACAGTTCCACACGGATGGTTTTTTTCTACCAACTAACAGCTCCTCAAAAGACAGCGACAAAAGGATCATTTATTCTGAAACCTAGTTACAAAGAGCTGAATAAAATGTGATGTTAAGGTTCCACCCTGCTCATGGGGAAGCTGGTTTTTTATTCCAAGGGCAGCTGCTGATCCTGACAACTTAATTACCAGTCAGGAAAAACTTGGCAAGTAAAAACCATTCCAAGCATGGGTGAAAAAGCGAGCATAAGGAGCTGATCCAAGGCTCAGCCCTCTATTTTGCACAAGGAAGGATGGGCATTTGGGGTTAGAGATGCCTCTGGTTGGAAGAATGGATAGTCTGTTTTCTCTAGTGATTTCACAATTTCTTTGCACAAAGGAAGAGAAAATTTTTGATCAAAAAAAAAAGTATTTTTCAATCAAAGTGTTCACTGTTAAATCTGTTTACTGCATGCTTTCCTTCCGCTAGAATGATAGAAGAAATGCAACTTATGCTGTCTCCAGCTTATTCTGCTTTCCACTGTGAGCCCTTGTGTGCTGTTCCTAGTCAGAAAGTCCCTCAGAACCAAAACCATGTTGTCCTGACAGGGATTGTGTTTTTATTGTAGGAAATTCCCAGGGAAATTAAGTGGGAATTACACAGTTGTGTTCATAGGACCTGAACTAAAAATCAGTCTCTGGGTATTCAAATCCAAGACCAACATGAATCTTAAAAGAGAAAGGGAATTTTCACTGCCAGGACACTGTCACCATGTTGTCATCTCTAAATCCCCAAAGAAGGAAGCAGGGCTGACTTAGCAAAAGGTAAAGGAAGGCAGAAATTCCATGTACGTGACAGTGGCTCCAGTCACCAAAGGGAAAATGCCCACACAGTACTCCTGGTGCTGATGCAGGAGAATAAAAGGTTAAAGGTAAAAATAAAGGTCAGATTTGATAACCTTGGAGGTGTTTTCCAGCTTAAGTGATTCTGTGATTCTGTAATACAACAGAACAATATCAGGGGAATGACATTAACAAGTGACAGCCAAGAGATTTAAATAGAGGCCAGAAAAATAAATGGTGGGAGGGTTGAGTGAGTGAATATTCAAATGATTGTGTTGAGTAAGGGAATATTCAAATGAAGAGTTGATTCATGTGGATAAACATTCCCAAAAGGGAGAAATTAAAATTAGTTACCTACATTAATATCTAAACATGTACGGAAAGCCTCAATTCCACCACTAAAAACAGGATGTTGCTGATTGAGTTGCCTCACTGTAGATAAAGGTATCTTATTCCCAACAAGGAAAATTTGGAGCACAATGTCTTCTTTGGCCACTAGATGCCACTGAACAGCTTTAATTAGCGCCCTGCACAATGAAGTTGCAAAAGTCACGCTGTTCCATGGGAATAACTCACTATTCCTTTTGATACAGCCGCAGCCACATAAGCAGCATTTCATGCAATGATTCCTGACATCAAAGAGAGATAATTCCCACAGAATTTCGAGGCTGCAAAGCCAGGTCATACCTGCTTCATCAGTGGTGATGGTGAGCTCGTTGCTGGCCTCGCTCTTGCCGATGCGGTTCTTGGCGTACATGCGGATGTTGTAGGTGGAGGACGGGTGCAGGTCGATGATGGTGGCTTGGTTTAGCTGAGGGGAAACATCTCTGGTTCTCTGGACAGAGTCCCAAGAGTCTGTTTGATAAGAAATATCAGTAGAAATAGACAAATCAGTGGTGGTGTTAATGTGGGTGATACAAGCATGAAGTTAAATTGTTTCATGCCACTGCTGTGTTAATCCAGAAAACACATTTTGATCCAAGCAAATCCAGCGATCCCTCCCCTTCCTTGACAGCACTCCTGACTGCTCCAAGAGTGCTGCTGAGAAAAATGGGATCTTAGCTCTGGGGTCATCAGCAAATCCACAGAAATAGCTAGTCTTTGACGAGGTGCTGAGACCAGCAAAGGTTGCCCAGTTTTGTGATCGTGATTTGTTACCTTTGGGGCATTGGAACAACTGCACAAAAATGGGAGCTGCTGCCTCAAAAGGACCTTCACTCAGTGAGAAAGTTGCTTGTGCTCAAAAAAAAAACAACAAAAAACACCCAAAACAAAACAAAACAAAACAAAACAAAAAACAAACAAAAAAACCCCAAAACAAAACAAAACAAAAAAACAAAACAAAACAAAACAAAACAACAACAAAAACCCAAAAAAAAAACAAAAAAAAAAAGGGAAGCAAAGGAGTTAAACAGAATGGCCCAGGGGAGACCTCATTGCTCTCCACAGCTCCCTGACAGGAGGGTGCAGCCAGCTGAGGACTGGGCTGTTTTCCTTGGCAAGAAGTGACAGCATGAGGGGACACAGCCTCAGCCTGGGCCAGGGGACAGTCAGCTTGGATATCAGCAGGAATTTCTTCATGGAAAGGGTGGTTAAGCATTGGAAGCAGTTGCCCAAAGTAATGGTAGAGTTCTCATCCCTGGAGGTGTCCAAGGAAGGCCTGGATATAGCACTCAGTGCTCTGGGCTGAGCGACAACATGGGCATTGGGCACAGTTTGGACTTGATGTGCTGGGAGAGCTTTTCTACCATCAGGGATTACATAATTCTCTGAAAGCTATACCAGAAAAAAATGAAAAATTAATCCTGGAGAAACACCCTGCCCTGGAGCACTCCCAAAAATGGAAATGCCAACACCAAACTCCTGCCACAGCTGCTTAGCATTGACCCTGGGGGAAGCAGCCTGAGTGGAACAAAGTCAGCCAGACTTCACCCCTCTGACACCAAACCTTAGCATCAAGCCCTGTGAAACATTAATATAACTCAGGGCAGGACCAAGATCTCCTTCCAAGAGCCTTTGGAGTTGTTATGTTAATTAGTCCAAGTTCTACTCCCCTACTGGTTACTTGTGTTCCATATATGGTATTGTCTCTGGAATGTTCCACCTCAAGCCTATATATTGTTACCACTCCCATGCTTCTGGTCTTTAGAGCTTGTCCTTTTGATGTGTTGGGCTCTTGGGCATCATCCCTATTTTTATTTCTCATTGCAAGTAAATTTCCTTTTCAGGCACTCCATTGTTCCTGCTCCTTTTTTCCTATTTTGTGCCGTGTTCACCCTGAAGTCAGAGGACCCAAAGATTTGTTGCAGCCATCCTTACTGAGACAGAGCCCCGTGTGGCTGCCCAGTAGGACCAGCAGAGCCCCAGTGCTGTGGTGCTGCTGCAGGGCTGGCTGCACTGATTTGGGCTCTTTGGCTGCACAGCCCCGTGCAGCTGCTGCCGCATGAAGTAAATAGGGCAGGAGATCTTTCTCCTTTTCAATGCCTTTATTAAAAAGAATCAGCTCAGGTGGGGAGAAACCGACGGGTCGCGCGCACTCTGCAGTCGCTCCCAGGAGTGGCACGGAGGAGGAGGATGATGATGCAGCTGTGTCCGCTGGCCTGCAGGCTGTGGGGATTCCATCCTCACGGGAGATTAAGAGATTCCGCCTTTTCGGTCCAACACCTCGGGTCCTCTCTCTAGTCAACATCCTTTTAGGTTAGGATGAGAAGCAAAAAGGATCCTAGCAGGCAATGGACTACGCTCCCCATCCTTAGACATCACCTAGGTCTCTTAATTCTATGTTGTCTCATTGTTTTTAGGGGTTTTCCTGGAAAACTGAAAAATTTGGTGCAATGCATTCTTATCTGCATACTAGCTCTGATGCCATTCCCATTCTCCTGGTACCTGCAGGGTCCCAGTGTCACTCCCTGGCAAGCACCAGGGGGACAATGGTTAATCACCGACCATTAACAGGTAATTGAAGAAGAACTCTTAACAATGAAGCTAACTTAACAGCAACTGGTTCTACTCGTTTTAACTCTGCAACCTTAAAAAAATAGATAACTTTTTATTCACAACACCGCAGGGATGTGTCCAGAGCTGCACAGAGCTGCTGCTGCCTCGGCTGGGGCTGCAGCAGGGGAACCCCTCCTGCCTGGCACAAGGCTGCTGCAGGATGGCAAGGCTGCGGAGGAACAGCCCCAGGGCGGCTCCAGGGACAGAACTCTGAGAGGTTTTTCAGAAGTAACTCTTCCCTGTGAGGGACGGGAGGCTCTGGCACAGGTTGCTCTGAGAAGCTGTGGCCACCCCATCCCTGAAAGTGTCCCAGGTTGGACACTGGGGCTTGGAACAGCCTGGAATAGTGGAAGGTGTCCCTGCCCATGTGTCACGATCCAATGAGAGATGCCTCTACCCAGATTAAGGGACATTTTAATGCTAAAAATCACTAGAATGTCTTTTACTTTGGTAACTGAGTGTGTCACAGCTTCCTCTGTGGGATACTTTCAGGAAAGGAATTTCAAAAGAGACCTCTCCCGCGGGGCTGGGGCTGAGCACTCCCTGCTCCCAGGGGACTCGGGGCCACTGCCTGTGGAAATCCATCGGCACCGCTGAGAGACAGCAAATGAAATCTGGGCACTCTGTTCTTGTGCCTTACAAACTTTATTTAAAAATACACAAATTCTTCAATAATTGGAACAGTTCTCTTTTTCTTACTCCTATTACTCTCCTTCTATTATGTATTTTAAAATTATTCTTGTCTTCTCTGTCTTCTTAGTCTTCCTCTTTGTGGTCTTATCTTCATCTGCTTTGTCATCATTGTCTCTGTCTTCATCATCTTCATCTTCTTTGTCTTGGAGTGGTGGATGCTGAGAGTCTGTGCCAGGAGCCTGTGCTTTGTGCCCAAGAAATGGTTGCTGTCCCTTCCAGGCCCGGGGCCGGGTGTGTGTGGGGCAGGGAAGGGGGGAGCTTTGGACTCTTTGGCTGGGCATTTTCCAAGCCTCACTGCCAAGGCCTTTGTGGCTCTGCCTGGTTCACTTTTGCTTGGCTTGCTTGGCTTTGTTAGCCCATCCAAAACCTTTTCCCTTCCCTGGCTTGCAGGAGTTACAGCAGCAATCTTTCAGCTCCTGGAGCTGAAGCCAACAGCTGCTGCTCCCACACCAGAGCAGCGGCCCCGGCGGCAGCGGGGCCGTCCCGTTCCAGCCCCAAGCCTTGGGGAGCCGAGGCGGGCAGAGGAAGCACAGCCAGAGACTCCAGCCCGGCTGCTTTGTCTGCCCTGGACAGGAGGTGGAGCCCAGAGAGCCGCCAGGGCTGTGCCTCCTGCTACATGGAACTCCTCTGTGGATGTTCCACTTCCCTCAGCTTGAAAGCCAGTGCCATGTCGCACCCCAAGTCAGGAAGGGGAATTTCTTCAATGTTTGCCCCATTCTCCAGTAATTTTGGCTCATTTTGGAGTATCCTCTTTTAAATTTGTCTCAAAAATTAAGACAATCATCTTCTTCTTTATTATCTTTTTCAACTTTGTCTTCACTGTCTTGTCTCCATCATCATCTTCATTTTCACTTGTCTTCTTCATCTTCTTCATCTTGTCTTCATCTTTGTCTTCTTCATATTCTTTGTCATCTTCTTCCTCATCTCCTTCATCTTCTTTGTCTTCATCTTCTTCATCTTTTTCTCATCTGTTTCACTCCTCCAGCCATGGATTCATGCAGGGACAGCGGAACAGCCCTTGCAGCGCCCGCTTGAAGCGGGAGGGACATTTCGTAAGGGGAGCCAGCTGCCCGTGGCAGGACTGGGCTCCCAGATGGACAGGCCAGGGGCTGTGTGGGGCAGGCACCCAGCTCTCTGTCGCTGCCTCTGGCTTCTTGAAGGGAAGAGAAGCCCCATGTCCCACAGGGACTTGGTCTTTCAGGGGCATGAGCAAGGCACGGAGCGGCCCTGGGCTGTGCAGCTCTGGTTCCTGCTCCTCAACCCAGGCCTCACGAGGGATGGACACTGGGAGCCCATCTGCTGCAAAAACTCTCCATTTTTGCTTTTGGTCATCTTCTGGGGGCAGCTCTAGGATGCTCACCTCATCCCACTCTTCCTCCTCTGGGAAGGAGGGCTTAGTCCAGATGCCATGGTCACTCTCATCTTCACAATTCTCCTGCACAAGCTCCTTACAGCTATGATCTTCTGAACTGGAGTGTCCTGAGAGTCTGCTGCCACTCCCTCTTGTTATGTCTTGGCCAATGCAGGTTTCCCTTTGGGAAAGGTCTTGGCCAATGTATTCTTCCCCGTCAGAATGTTCTGCACAGCTGATGATCTCTCCTCCAATCAGCCCTTGCCCAGGGTATTCTTCCCAGTCTGAGAGGTCTTGCTCAGGGAAGTATTCTTCCCAGTCACAGTCTTCATGGTGACTTGTGACTTCTCCCTGGGGCACATCTGCCTCTGTGCGCGCTTCCCAGTGAGAGAGCTCTTCCTGGCACACCTCCTGCTCAGGGCACTCTTCCCCCTGGGACACATCTGCCTCTGTGCATGCATCCCAGTCAGAGAGCTCTTCCTGGGACGCCTCCTGCTCAGGGCACTCTTCCCCCTGGGCCACATCTGCCTCTGTGCATGCATCCCAGTCAGAGAGCTCTTCCTGGGACACCTCCTGCTCAGGGCACTCTTCCCCCTGGGGCACATCTGCCTCTGTGCGCGCTTCCCAGTCAGAGAGCTCTTCCTGGGACACCTCCAGCTCAGGGCACTCTTCCCCCTGGGGCACATCTGCCTCTGTGCGCTCTCCCCTGTTAGAGAGCTCTTGCTGGGACACCTCCTGCTCAGGGCCTTCCTTATTTTCCCACTGGGAAAGCTCTGGCTCAAAGTCATCTTCCCAGTCTTTGTCCTCCCCAGCCAAGGTCCCCTCCTCACTCTCTTGCACTGCCCACACTGATGCTGATGCTGCCCCCTCCTGCTGCTGCTTGCTGGGGGCCTGGGCTCTCAGCTGGGCAGGGCAGGGGCTGGGGGGGCTGTGTGGGGCAGGCACTGGCCCTTGGCTGCATGGCTCCTGTGCTGGGTGCTCAACAGAAGCCTCACAAAGGGCAAGCTCTGGGATCCCTTCTCCCAAGGAAATTCTCATTGTGTGTCCTGTGACAGACACCTGGGACAGCTCTGCATTTCTCATCAGGAAAGGCTCCAGATCATCCAGGAATTGCCACCATTTCATTTCCTCATCAGAGTCATCCACCCTCTCCCCCACTGCCTGTGCTGCTGACCCCACTGCTGCCTCCTCCAGCTGCTCCCTGGGAGTGTGGACTCCCAGCTGGGCAGGCCAGGGGCTGGGGGGGCTGTGTGGGGCCGGCACTGAGCTCTCTTCCCTTTTGGCTGTGACTACTGTTTCCACTTCTACAGCCAACCACTGCTGAAGGGCATAGACTTCTTTCTGCTGCTGCTTCAGTGCCTGGATCTCGTGCAGCACCTGGCTCAGGACCTCCCTGTTCATGTCCTGCTCTGTGGGATTCTGTGGGGCAGGAGAGGTGCTCTGCAGGGCAGGAACTGAGCTCTCTTCCCTTTTGGCTGCGACTACTGATTCATTTACAGCCAACCCCTGTTGAAGGGCAGCCAGCTGCTGCTTCAGTGCCTGGATTTCCTGCAGCACCTGGCTCAGGGTCTCCCTGTTGTTTTGGTCCGTGGGACTCGGTGGGGCAGGAGAGGGGCAGGGCAGGGCAGGCACTGCCTCTGCTGCCACTGCTGCACCCACAGGGCTGGGAGAGCTGGGCTGTGTTTCTTCTACAGCCACCTGTTGCTGGAGAGCATACTCTTCCTCCAGCTTCTCCATCAGTTGGTACATGTCTGTCAGTCCCTGGATCAGGATCTCCTCGGTGATGTTCCCATCCTGGCATAGTGAAGCCAGACTACTGGTCAGGGTGTCGGAGGGGACACCGGATGAGCTCTGTGTTCCTGGTGATGGCAGTTCCTCACTGACTAGAGGAGCTGCTGCCTTTACCTCATCAGGAGTGAGAGGCTTGGGCAGCTCCTCCTTCTCATCAGCTCCAGCCAGGGCAGCAGCCGTTGGCTTGGCCTCTGTGGGACTGCCTGGGACAGGGAAGGTGCTGGACAGGGCAGGTGCAGCCTCTGCTGCCACATCCATGCCTATGGGGCTGGGAGAGCTGGGCTGTGTTTCTTCTTCTACAACCATCTGTTGTTGGAGGGCATACTCTTCCTCCAGCTTCTCCATGAGTTTGTAGATGTCCGTCAGTCCCTGGATCAGGATCTCCTCAGTGATGTTCTCATCCTGGAATAGTGAAGCATGGCTACTGGTCAGGATGTCAAAGAGGACACTGGATGAGCTCTGTGATGGCGCACTTGCTGTTGGACCCTCTCTCTCACTATCACCTTTTCCCAGTGGGAAAGCTCCTCATCACTGTCACCTTCCCACCAGGAAAGCTCGCGGTCCATTTTGGCAGAGGGCCTCTCCTCCTCCTGAGTCTCTGTCAGTGGCAGGACTGACCTGACACTGCCCCTGACCACTGCCCGCTGGGGGCCTCCAGCCAGCTGGGCAAGGGGCTGGGGACCGGGAGTTGGAGTTGCCTTTGTCCTTGTGGCTATCCTTTTCTGTCGCTGTCAGCCTTGATCACTACGGGCGTCCAGCGCAGACAGAGCCAGGGAGCTGCTTCCTCCTCAGAGAGCGGCTCTCCTGGGACTGGGCACCCCAGGGCTCTGCGCCCCTTAGACACCCTCAGCCAGGGAGGGGCTCCCTGATGTCACAAGGCTCTCTGGCCACCACCACGTCCCACATCACAAAGGGCCCCGACACCGTGTGCCTGTGTCACAAAGGGCCACCCCCGGCACCCCACCATCAGTGCAGCAGACAGCAAGTGGCTGGGAGCAGCCCCCGCACTTGTGGCCTTGTGGCCCTGCTGTGCCCAGAGCCCTGAGAGGCTTTGGCCACGCTGCCACAGGACAGCCCCAGCCCCGCAGAGCAGAGCCCTGGCTTTGCCGGCTGCGCTGCCCAGGGCACCAGGAATTGGCCGCACGGACGGGCCGGGCACTCGTGGGCAGCGGCTCCAGGAGCCGCGGGAGCCCGGGGAGCAGGGGTGTCCCTCAGGGCTCTGCCGGGCACCGGGGCTCGTCCCTGCCTTCAGCAGTGACACCCGGGGCACCGAGCGCGGCCTGGGCGCCTTTGGCGGGCACGGGGAGCCGAGCGGGGCAGGGGCAGCAGGCAAGGACGGGGCCGTGCACAGGCACCTGGCCGGGCTGGAGAAGCGGCACCACGAGAGCCTCCTGCGCTGCCACAAGGCCGGGGCCCGGCTGCTGCCCCTGGCTCGGGCCCGTGCCTGAGGCAGCCACTCCTGCAGCTCTGCCCCGGCCTCTGCGGCGCCACGGGCACAGAGGCCGGGCCGGGGCTCGCTCCCTGCTGCCCGCAGGGCGCTGCCGAGGGCTCCCCGCCCGCCGGGGCCGGGCCGGGCGCTGAGGGAGCGGCGCCGCCATCGCTGCCGCCCCGGTGAACTCGGCTTCCGTTGGCTTTGTCCCAGCTGTGGCATGAGGAGAGCGCGGGAAGGACTTGTGTTTGTCGGGAAAATCTCGTGTTTCTCGGGAAGGTCATCCCCTTCCTCACACAACCGGCAGGTTTCAGCTGTTCCGGCGCTGCCACCCCGTGGCCATCGCTGGTACCGCAGCAGCCCCGCGCCTGGCCGGAACCCCGCGGATCCCGGGAAAGATTTTGGCAATCCCCGAAAGCATCGGGGACCCGGGTGTGCCCCGCTCGCAGAGCACAAGAAACAGCATTAAACAGAACTGTTCAAAGTTTGTCCCTACGACTGCCCTAACGACATAAAAAAATTAAAATGATGGGGAGAGAGGCACAAATGAGGACCCACAGTCCCGTTCCTGTCTCCAGAGCTCTTTGCTCCGATGGAAAGGTCTGGAGGCTGCACAGGACGGATCTCCACGAAGGGCCAGATCTGAGCGCCACAGGTACATGTCTGTACAGACAGGTGATGTCTCTATGTACCAAAACATCCTGAAACACCAAGTTCCTGGTATTCATAGCGCTCTGGGATGGCAAATGGACCCCACAGGATAGGCAACTCCACGCTCCTTCCATGGAGTAACTAATTCCATTGGGGTAATTAGTGTATCTGCTGTGTCTGATGGGGTAGACATCAGCAGTGCTGAGCTAACTTTGGACTTGATGATCTTAAAGGCCTTTTCCAAACTAATTTCTATGATTTTATGATGGGATATGTGAGGGCTGCTGAATACAGTCCATGCATTCTTTGTGGTCACCTGCACCTTCTCTGAAACAGAAAAGTTTTCCTGCTTGAGAAGCCTTGATGGTGCATCTGATCTAAATTCATTCCTGAATCCTCAGGAAAGGCAACAGAGGGGAAAAAGTCTCACAAAACACAGTTGTGCAGTTTACAGCTTCACTTTGGTCTTGGTAGAGTGTTCCTTGAATATATAATCTAAATTTTATTCCAAAAATGAGAAGTTTTCTTAATTATTCCTCTTTGTTCTAAACTGCCCCAACTACCCCATGCAAGTTCTCCATTAACCATCTTTGTTAATTCATCTTCTCAGTGATTTAATTAATGACAAAATTAATGTGCAAGAATTTTCAAAGACCTGATCTGAGTTTCTCCAAACATTCAGCCTCAGACTTTAGAAACTGACATTTCTGTTTTGTTGTTTGCAGTAAGAAGAAGATAATCTGCTTTTGTTAGGACAGGACCTGCAGGATTTGTTTTCAGATACAAAGAAATATTTTCTTTGACACCAATTCTGCTGCCCACTTCTTTTCCTTTTTTTTGTTTTTTTTTTTTAACCTTTATCAGTATATTGAGTCCTGATATTTCCATCCAACCTGATGATGCTTCTTTTGCTGTCTTGCTCTTGATTTATCATTCCATATTAGAGAGAAATAATTTTTCAATGCAGGTTCATGGTGACCCCCCACTTAATCTTTGTCTGCATTCCGCATTATCACTTGAAAACATCAAACTAAATCTAAGAAGGATGTTTTAGAGCTCTGAAATCCCTGCTTGTCACTGCGTCAATGGAATGGAAGCACCTCAGTCATCCTAAATGGGGTTGTGCTGAGTTACACCATTCTTAAATATTTATTCTTGTGTTTGAGAAATACAAGAGATGTCTTAGTGCGAGAAAGAAGTCAGTCAGGCAAGAATGACTTTCAAAAGCTTTTCTGGAGTGGATGGATGGTTGGAAAGAAAGGAAAACAATCAAAAAGAAAACAGAGCCCAGAAACTTTTAGGTATGCATATTCCTTGAAGGCATCCTTGCCCAATGCACATCTCCAAACCTGCAATTCGTGACTTCAGCCTCAGTGGAGAATTTCCACTCCTCATCTTTCAGGTACATTATCAATCTCTTTTGTACATTATTGTTTTAATTTATAAAGCCAGGGATAAAATGATGACTGATGATTCAACACTCTTGAAAATATTTTTTCCACTAATGAAAACATCACAAAATTTTTGCCTGAGTAAATATAGCATGAAGTGGCAAAAGGGAAAAGCAGCAATTGCAAAATTTACTGTCTTCACCGCAAAACAAACAAAAAGGACAACAAATGAAGATAAATCTTCATGTGGGAGATTAAACAAACCACGATGAAAAATTCCATCAGGCAGTTTCAATTTGTGAATTACCTTTTGCAGCACAAACTTGGTGGGGAATGAGCAGCAACGGGGATGGCTGGGATTGTTCCTTACCTGACTTGTTCTTGCACTCGATGTCGTAGCCGGTGATGGGGCTGTTGCCATCGAAGCCCATGGTCCACCTGAGCGCGATGCTCCGAGCTCTCACCTCCCGGATCTCTATCTCGGGGGGGTCGGGGGGTTCTGGGCAAACACACACACAGAGCTCTGCTCAGAACACACCCCATGCTCTTCACAGGGCCACACCAACCAGCGTGGCACTGGCTCAGCCTTCCTGGGCACTCATGGGGACCCTGATCCTGTCAGTCACCTGCTGGAAGTATCAGCACTTTTCAACTTGGAGTTACTGGTGTAATCTTGAATAGTGGCTCCTCTTTAACCTTCTTGGTTGCATTTCCTTAAAATCACTCCAGCCTGGACTTTCATCCCAGGAAAGATATTTTACCTTGAACACCACATTTCCCTGAAAATACTACTATCAGTGATTTTAATCAAAAAGTGATTGTAGAAATATGAGTACTAAACTCAAAAGTGCTAAATTTGGTGGAGAGAGAGAGTAAAATTTCTCTTTGAGTTTAAAAGTCTTACTTTAATAACAGAATAATTTGTCTGATTTTGTAACTCTGAAAGCTCTTTCTGCCTTTAAAGTTGATGTTGTAAATAACCAGCACCCAGGCCCATTCTAATGTCCCTTTAAATTGTCATGGCAGCTTAGATGAGCTGTGGTAGAACTGGGAACCTGTCCCCACCCTCCACCTGAATTTTTCAACAGGGCTGCCTTAGGCATCCTCTGGAATCTGCTGCTACTTGGAATCAAGGGCAGGGAGAGAGAAATCTGCAAGATGTAGGAATTTGTTGTGAGCAGGCTCAGAGAGGCACAGGAGGAACCAGCACCACATGGGAATGAGCAGTGGCCAGGGGCTGAGTCCTGCCTGTGCCCTGCATCTGAGATATTGTCACCTCTTCAGGACTTGCTGTTTGTGCCCTGTGGGACCCAGGCAACATAAATTCCTAGAATTTGGATTGTGCAAACTGCTCACAATTTATTTTGATTGATTGAACTTGAAATATTTTGCTTTAAGTTCCACAGTAGGTTTAACACTTCTGAAGAGATGAAGTGAGATCACTTTTGCTTTATTTCAGACCTGGGTTTGAAGCACATTTGTTCTTTAAAATCAAATGCAACCTGCTCTTCCTCAATCCTCCATATCTACAGTCCTTACTGAAGATATTAGTTTTAAGTATCTTTGGCAATTGTCAAGTACTGTATTTAAGAAAAAAAATTCTAAATAATTTGTACAGATCTAGAAGGACTCAAGCTTATCTTTTATTTTGATGTAAGTTATGATGCTGAAAATGAAAGACTGAGAACCTTAATGCAGCTCCTAATTTGTTTGACAATGAGGAACACGTTTAATTAAGAATCAAAACCTCCCTCCCCCGAGCAGATTTCTACACTTCCTGTCCTACAATAGCTGTGGGTTATTTCCTTGTGTTGTCCTCTCCCTACCTTGCACAGTGAGCTGAATTATTCCACGATCCTCCCCGTAAGAATTGATGGCGTGGCAGGAAAAGAAGCCAGAATCTTCACGCACAGTTGGCAGAATCTATAGGAGGTTGGAAAAGAGGTGATGGATTGAACAGCACGCAGAGAAAATAAACCAACAGCTTGTCTGTGAGGCGCAAGAAAAATCGCTCAGACTGTTCTCCTTGACAGCAATAAATAGATATGGCAGGTTACACACATACAATTGCATAGGAAAGCTTCCAAAATACTGAAATTATCAAAGCCAGCAGCACCTGGGCTGAGGACACAGGCTACCAGCTCGACACGTGTAGTCAGGAGCTGGAGCTCCACCTATTCCTGCAGCTTCTCCTTAGGAGCCTTGTTTCCAGTTCCTCACAAGTTTGCCAAGCATTTAACTGTTGGCTGAAATTTGCCATACAAAATGGTGCCTCCTGCTGCCTCCAAATTTTTCTGGCTATTTCTGAAAACAACTCAAGTGGCTGAAGTCTGTGTGGGGGAAATAAAGGTTCAAACACTGGTGGTGAGCCCTGTAGTGTTTAGCATGGTACCTCATAATAAAGTTTTGTGTGGTCTTTCTTTTCAATTTGTTGTTTAACAGCAAGGAAATTTTTATATAATATTTACAAACATGATCATAATGATATTTTTCTACAGGACCACTGCTTCATTCAAGGTACAAGAAAGAAAGAATTTTTTTAAAACGAGCAGATATTTGAAATAGCGTTTCCTTCTCATTGTTCATTGTGCTGCTCTGCAATTTATTTACTGTGTCCTGTTCAAACTGTGCCCTGAAAACAGACATTCATTTTCTCACAGCATTTTCCTCTGAATTCACCCATTGCAGAAACAGGAGAGAATTTATTTTCATCAGCCCTGACACCATGAAGAGCATTGCCACCATTTCATGTAGGGAATTAAGGAAGCAGATGTATGATAACGTTTGTGGCTGCTTGACAAGTTGCCACATATTAACTGAGCCATGGCAACTCCACGTGCTCTTTATTCCTTGGCAAAACCCAGGTGATGTGAGCACAACTCCCAGTCACCACTGGTTAAGATAAATGAATTAATTTCCCACTTGCTGCAAGGAAATTGGAGAGTTATCATCTGAGATGTGGCAACATGTCAAGCTGTGTTCACTTGCACGTGCGGCTGAGCTGAAAAACAAAAATTTCCAGAGCCCAATTTGAGATGTAGGGCCTTCCAGCCCCTCCCTCAGAGTCCTGAGCAATAAATAGCCTTTCATGTGTTCATAACAGCTTCCACTGAGTTCAGCTGCAGCCAGGAGGGCTTAGTGCTTCTGCAAATCAGACCCCAAGGGCTCAAGGCGAGTGCCCAGAAAACAAAGAACACACAATTATTGGCCACCTGTGAAAAGTCTGGTCTCAAAGATCAGCTTTGCACCACACAGTGCTGTTCATTACTCAAGCCTAATTCAGCCCCAGCGAAAATCCAAGTCCTGTCTCACTGAGGCAGGGGTCCTGCAGAAAAAATAAAAGCTGAGTACACAACTAAAGATTACATCATCATGCAAAAGCACTGAGCTCAACGCTTCAGAGCCAGCCTTAATCTGCCATTTTCTGCTTTTTGGGGTGTTTTATCTCTCAGAAGTGAAAGGTTTTGTATGCAACACACATGGATGTAGAACACCATTGCTGTACACAACTGCTTCAGGAAACTCTCCAAGCAGGACTCCAGCCTTCCAAATAGAAATATTGTCGTGTATCCAGGGGATATCTTATTAAAATCAGCAAGAAGAATGATGGCAGAGAGGCCTAGGGGTCAATCCTAGGTCAATCCAATCAATAAATATTATTTGTATCACAAAAATACTAATAGGAACAAAGTCACACATAGAATTTTTTCTTCCTCATATTAATCAATGACGAAGTTCCCTTACAGGGAGCAAACCCAGAATTCTACTGGATATCATCCAACACAGGTTCTGGCTGGTAAAGAAGGATATCTTTCATGAGAGTTACACTGAAATTTAGACAATAACCAGACAGATAGAGAATTAGTTCCTTGGGCCTGATAAATACACTTTTGAAATGTGACTGAAAATGTATAATGAAGATTTTGGAGTGAGAAAAAAGAAGAAAGGTTCTTTTAGATTTCATAAAGCACACATGAAACACCACTTTGAATCCTGACTTTATAAAGTGGTCTCACAAGCCCCACCAAGTGAAAGGAAGGGAGAAGAGCACTTTAAAAAGGCAGCATTTTTTCTCAAACCAGTTTAGTGATTTTGGTGAGGGTCAGTGTGACACCCGTCAAAACTTGGGGCCAGGTATTTGCCAGAGTTTATCAGCAGTTTGGTCAAACTGGTCTGGGGAAGGACAGGCTAAGGCATGAGCCACACTGCTCCTGAGACAGAAAGGATGGAGGGTTGAGCCTGGCTCACTCTCCTGCTGCCTCTGGAGTGTGGGAAGAGGGAATTTTTCATTAGGGATGGATTGCAGAAGTTTCCTCTCCCTCCTCTGGCTGCCAGCTCTCCCCACCATGCACGGAATGAGTGCTGGGGCTCTGGTGTTGTCAGGCTGGCCCCGCCCCTGGATCAAAACCAAACCAAGCTCACCTTGACATATCTGGATGATTTGGGGGCCAATTTGTTTTCTTACCTGCAGGGTAGAAATCACTTCATCCCCAACTTCCTTGGTGGAAACCAGGTAACGGGACATTTCGGGGTTAATGATCCGGTCTTCCTTCTCCCAGCGGACTATGATGGGTTTCTCTCCATGTGCCGTGCAGCTCATCTCCTTCTTTTGGCCTTGAGTCGCCAGGGTGGTGTTTGGGTAGGAGGTTATCATAGCTGGAACTACAAACAGACAAAACAAAACAAAACAAAGTTGTTCCTCAGTGAGCTGAAGGGTGTGATGATACCAGGTTGGCTCTTCAATCCGTGTCTCACCGAGCTTGTCCATATTTAACCAGATCAAAATAAATATGAAAAAGTATTTTATTTTCATTCCTGTATTAAGAGACCTGATGGGCCTGAAAGGGAACTTAGGAAAGGAGTTGGAAGTGGACAATAGAGAGTGTGAATCCAAAGGAAGCCAGTTTTCATTTGTTTTGCTGCTCACAGGGCAACTTAATTCAACATTCAATATTCAACATAATTCAATATTCACAGCACATAAAGGGACTTTAACGAATAAGTGTTCAGATATGTGGACAATAAAGAACTGATAAAAATGTCTGCTTCCTTCTGATGAGCTGCTGTTCTACTTGCTGACTGTTACATGTTTTACCAGTGTGTGTGACAGTAATGATCTATCAAAATGAGGGCTCAATTAAACCAGGAGCTGCACAAAGTTAAAAGAAAGGCTCTGCACCAAGGAGCTTACAGACCATGGATGTGTTGAGTGCATAGCTGAACTATGCTGAACTGAAAGTATAATTAAACTGACAATAAACCTAGCTAGATTCGAGTTTTTATTGTACTCAGATGGTTTTTGCGTAACAGTTTGGACATACCTGTCAAGTTCATTAACCATTCTTTAAAAAAGGGCTTAAATTTTAATGTTGAAAAAAGTACTCTCTTCTTAGCAAGAATAGTCTTAAACCTGAAGTACTTTTGTGTTTTGGAATTAAAGTTTCCTGCAAACAGGAAGAAAAAAAATCCTTGGGATGTTTTATTGCAAACTCCAGTCATGGCATCTTTGAAACAGGATGATCTCTTAGGTGTCCTTTGCTGTCCTTCCCTCCCTACGTGGTTTGTCCACCAATGAATGGCACCTGGATTTCTGTTTCTAGAAAGAATCAAAGCCCACAAATCTTTCAGTTCAGGCCCAGGAGAAGCTGGAAAGCCCTGGACAGCACCCAGAGCTGTTCTTTCTGAATGAATCTGTCCACTCTTCTAGAGCACATGAGGCATCAGCAATGAACCCCCTCCCTAAGCTCTTGCCCTCCAGGGCTGCCTCCTGCAGTAGCCCCAGTCCCTTGTTTTTATGCATGAATGGTTGCTTCTTCTTATCAGAACAACTCACTCCTTCCATCTGAGCTTCTCTGGGTCCTGTTTTAATCAGATGACACTGGCAGAGGATCTGATTTGAGGCCTTCCCAGGCTTTCCACTTGCATAGTTTGTGTTTGTTGCCACACAGCAGAATAAAAACCCTTATTTAAATGAATTACTTTAATTGCCAGCCCGTAATGTTAATGCTTGGTGGCATGACCTTTTCACATGCCAGAGCTGTTAATGCTTGGAGATGACAATGTCATTGTGCAGCCCTTTCTGTTCAAAGGCTTCCTGGCCCAAACCAAACCGACCTGGAGAATAACAGGGCCTGTGGAGATGTGGGTTTGAGTTACCAATGGGATCTAATTCCAGGAGGAACTCTGAGAAAGGTGTTGTATGAGGCAGGAGGCTCCACATGCACTAGTGATTTAACTGTTTGGGTATTAGGTACTCATCAATTTTTATCCAAGAGGAGAATCTGAAGAGAAGAAATTATGAATAATCAAAATAGAAAATTAGGATGAGTCTGATTCCATATTCTAGAGGATGGAAATAGCCTCAGTTTCGTCTGGTGTGTGCTCACGCACCCACAAGGAGGTTACTTTCAGAAAGTTGGGGTTTTTTTGTGGCCATCTGCTTGTTCCTCCAAACCCAGAACAATCAGGGCTATGCAAAATCACAGGATCATTTAGATTGGAAATGACCTCCAAGACCATTGAGGCCAAGCTGTGACGATCCCCACCATCTCACCAGCCCAGAGCTCTGAGTGCCACCTCCAGGCCTTCCTTGGACACCTCCAGGGATGGAGACTCCAAACCTCCCTGGGCAGCCCCTTCCAATGTCTGAAAACCCACTCAGTGAAGAAATTCTTCCTGAATTTCTTCTTGAAATAGTCCCAGACATCCTTTTTTGCATTTTATCCAATAAGAGACCCAATTCAAAAGAGTGCCAGGCTGTTAAGGAGTCCACTTTACCATCATTAACTTGTGCCACCTTTCTTCCTTCCACAATGTCCCCAGCCTCCCACATGTCCCTTCCTCTGCACATCTCTCTCCCCTCATCACAACAGGCTCCAGTCCCCTTCACCTGTCCTTCTTTCCTCCTGTTTCAACCTCCTTGGGTTCTCACATCCCTATACCTTTACATTTTCCTCCTCTAGCCTCATTTCCTGTCCCTAATTAAATCAGCCAACCCCTCCAAATCAGGTGATCTAAAGAGTTTTCCCTACAGCTATAGTCTTCCTTCCCATCAATATCTCCTCTTTGGAGTTTCCCTGGTGATGGTGAAAATGTTCTGAGCCCAGGCAGGAGATGAGGGCTGAGGGGTTTGTGCCTCCCCACAAGGTACCAGAGCTCCCGTGCAGGTGAGCCCTGCCCTGGCAGGTCCACCCTCCTCCTGCTTCACGAGCAGGAGCACACACAAAATGGGACATCTGGACTTGGATTGAAATCCCACAGCCATCCAGGAGCCTGTCCCAGACACTCCTGCCTCACTTCCAGCTCCTGCTCTGGGTGACAGTGCCAAACCAAACCCCATGATTCCCCATCTTGCTTTTAAAAACCAGAGGCTTCCTTGGAAAGCTCACTTCCCCCCCACCCCCCAACAAACTTTCTTAATAAGAGCAGCATAAAAACATGTAAAGAAAGATGACTTTATTCCTCAGATACAGCTTTATCCCTGCTTATCCTTCCCTTTTCCTCACATAATCTTCCACATGGATTCCTTATTGCCATAGCAATGCCTCACAGCTAAATATTTCCCCTTCCTCCAAAGCTGATTTTTTACTCTTCACAATTTATCTCCAATGATCCTAAACCATAAGCTCTTCTTTTTATCTTCCTCTATGTCAAAAGATTTCTGGTAACAAAGCCACATTCCCAAGGATATTTTAGGCAACATATTTCTTCACCCTCCAACTATCTTTAATCAAATTACTGATGCAAATAACTGAGATAAATATGCTGGTTCTTTACTGACAAAATAATCTGGAAAACTGTAAATAAGCAAGCTAAATCTGCACTACATATGCATGAGATATTCTCTTAGGATGTCTTAAAAATAAGTGAAGGCATTTAGAAATGTATCAAGAAGATTCAGATGCCATATTAAGTATGGCTGTGCCTTAGATCTCTTCAAATGTGCATTATACACAGACACATAATAATATTTATATGTATTTATATAAGAGAATTTTGGAAGGGAAGGGCATGTTGCTGTGCAGGTTCAAGGAATGGAGACTGCCATGTTCCACAGTTTTGGAGTAGTTTCACCACAGGACAAATTAATCAAGTTCTCTTTTCTCTGGGGTTCTCCATGTCTTTGTCTGAAGCCATGGGGTGCTGGGCACAGTTAGAGATCTATTGGTCAAAACTGGACAAAGTAGAAGCTACAATTTATAAATCATGGCAATTTACATTTTCAAGGTATTCATATCTCTGCCAGCAGCATTAATCAGGAGTTTTCTTTATCTAGAGTTGGGCTTGCTTTTGGAAAGCTGATTTATTTGCTGCTTTTCACAGATGAACCCATTGTTTTCCCTTTTCTTCATGGCAACCCAGAAAAAAAAAATTATTGATAATAATAATTATTATTATTTTTAATATGAAACCATTATTTATTATAGCACTAAATATTATTGCTATACTAAGGCATATCAAAATATTAGATTGTACAATCATTAATTAGCAATTATTATGCTAATAATAAATTCTTGTTGATATAATGATTGCTTTATAGTACTAACAGCTTCATTAAAATCAAAGTGCAAAATTCAGTAGTCAGGGTTATCCTTAAGAATTGTGAAAGTGGCTCAGACAAAACAAGAAGTTTTTGTCCTACTCTTGAAGAAAACTGAATCTGGGCCTTTCCTAAGATTCAGTAAAAATTACTTAATCTGACTTATTTTTTCTCTGCTACTGCTGAGTAGTAGGAACTGAGTCCAAATTAAAATGAAAATATTTAATTACTTTGATAAAGACCGATCTCATTATCCAGATTAACAAGACTGTAGGAAATTGAGCAAAGCTTGTGAAGGGTATCAGAAACTTTTGAATCCTTTTAGAATAAATCTTTATGAATTAATAAAAAACAAAAATTCACATCAATTTTAAAAATTATGTTGAGAGCTGGGATGGACGGAGGTATTTTTTCTCTCTTTCACCTCATAGATGGGAATAACCACATTAGAAGAAGCAAATTAAATATCTCCCTGTTTTTCAGTTTGTGATTAAACACTAAATATCCATGTATCATTCAAAAATTATTATAAGACTGACTGAAGTTCTCAGTATTTTTGAGAATTATGGTCCTTTCTAACCCCAAACCATTCTGGGATCTTGGGATTCTCCTGGTCTGAAGATCTCTGGCCTGGCAGAGTGTTCTCATATTTTGGCTCCATCAGTGGATGATGCTTGACCTGGCCAGTTTGGGGAAATATCTGTAACCATGAGAGATTCATCTTGCAAACACTGAGAAAATACTGAAAAAATGAATTGAAATTTGAGTTTCACATTTAAGCCAAATTCAACTGTCCTTTCTTTCTGGTCAGCCACAGTGAGAACACTCCTTTCCATGACAAATGGGATTTTCCTACCTCAGAAATTCCCTTTTCCTTCATCCCCTTTTGCTCAGGCAGAGAAAGCCCATGAAAATACATTCCTTATATTTAAGTGAGCCTAGCTGTCACACTTTTATTTGTTGATATATATATTTGTTAATTTATTTTCAAATTTAGTAGACTTTGAGGAGTCAGCAAGAGCTTTGCTAAAATTCATAACTTCAGTTTTCCCTTTCTGATAAGAGACATTTGGATTTACTTAAATATCATCTCTCTGGAATTCAAATGGTGAAGAAAAGAGAA